GTGTGGGCAGGCGCACTCATAAGTCACCCATCATGAAATTGGCAAACATGTTGAAAGGATCTAAAAAATTTAAAAATTTAAAAAATTGAGGCCAAATGCAGCCTCTCACAACAACGCTAGCTGGTACACTGCTGCTAATGGGTTCCTAGAACACTTACCTAGTGGGGGAAGACTGTACTGCAAAACGTTCGCCCTCCAAAAATAATTCCATGTTTTTTTGACTCCCACTCTCATAAACTATGATAGAAAACTATTCTCAAAGTTCAATGGAAACAATTCAGATAATATATTATAATGAACATTGTATTGAAGCTAAAATTCAAATCAGTTATAAACAGAAAGATACAATATGCTTGTAATTTTTAAAGAATTCTAAAGTGAATCATGAGGTAATATAATGGAAATTTTAAAATATTTTTAACTTAATGTTAAGGAAAATTTTTAAATGTGTGGGTTATAGCTAAAGAAATGTTTAGAGGGAAATTTGCTCCCCTAAGTACTTTTATTAGAAGGAGAAGAAAGACTGAGTATTAATAAACTAATCATCCTTCTCAAGAAGCAAAATAATAAAACTCAAAGTAAGGAGAAGGAAACAAACAATAAGGACAAATACAGCCATTAATAGAAAACATGTAAGAGAGTGGATCAGTAACGTCATATCATGCAAGTCTTCACGCAAATGTCAACTTCTACACGAGGCACACCTTAACCACTCTATCTACAATTGTGATTCATCCCTTCCATGACTGGCTAGCAATTTGGAGTCTCCAACCTTCCTCCATATACTTTATCTCCCTTTAAAATATTTTATAATTTATTCTAAATTTTTGTTTCTTGTGTTTGCCTTTCTCTTTCTATTTGAATGTAAGCTTTATAAGGTAAGGGTTTTTGTTTACTCGTATATCTCAAATAACTAGCATATATTAGACTCTCAATATTTATTAAACCAATTACATAAATGAACAGTCCACAGTTGGTTTCTTTGAAAAAACTGATAACATCAACAATTGTCTGGTGAGGTGTGTCAAGAAGAACAAAAAACATAAATAATAGGAGTGAAAATGGAACTGTGACTTTAATAAGAAATGATATTATTTGAATAACTTTATATGCCAGTAAATTAGACAACTTACATGAACTAGACAAATAGCCAGAAAAAAAAATAAACTGTATTTATAAGTAGAAAATCTGAATAGTCCTGTAATCATTTAAGAAATTAAATCAGTGGTTATACATCTTTCCCCTCAAAAATTCTAGATCCACAAGTTTTCATTAGCTAGTTCTTCATTCAGAAGTAAATAAACAATTTCATATTTATGCAGATTCTTCCAGAGCATGTAAAAAGAAGGAACACTTTTTAATTTATTTTGAGTTACTTAGATAACCTGAAGATAGTATGAAAAGGAAAACTAAAGCTTATTCACGAACATAAATACAAAAATCCTAGACGAAATATTAGCAGACTTAATCTGGAAGTATTAAGTGGTAATAAGTCATGACACAGTTCAGTTTATCTCAAGAAGGCTGAGGTGGTATAGTATACAAAATTAAATGTATATAATTAGATTGAGTTAAAATGCATTAATGTACCTTACCGTTTGATAGGTTACAGTGTGCTTTCTTAGTATTATAAACGTGTCTCCATTTTTTTAAAAAAACCTTCCAGATAAGCAAAAGTACTGAAATTAACAAATATTGACTTGGATAATTATTGTGGGAGTGTAAATTTGAATAATTACTTTGGAAATTACAACTTTAATAAAGTTAAAAATGCACATACCCATCAGTTTTATTCCGTGATGTAGAAAAATCCTTGCAAATGGGCAACAGGATACATACATTCAAAGGTTAATAGCATTATTTATGATAGTAACAAACTAGAATCAATTCAATATCTATCAATAGAAGAATGAATACATAAATTAATGTTACTATTCAGCAGTGAAAATATACCACAATAGCTATATCTATCAATATGAATAAATTTTTATAAACCATAATGTATATCTAGAGAAGTAAGTCACATATAAGGAGAAATATTATCTTATTCCACTTATCTGAGCTATCTAGATCATCACACTCAAATAGACAAAGTAGAATGATGACTGAAGGGTTGGGGCTGGAAAAATGGGGAGTTTTTGTTTAATGTATACAGGATTTCAGTGTGGGATGTCAAAAAATTTCTGGAGGTGGGTGCTATGATGGCTATATAGCACCATGAATGTGCTTAAAGTCACTGAACTGCACACTTGGAAATTTTAAAATGGTACATTTTATGTTAGGTATACTTTGCCATAATAAAAAAGGCAAATCACAATATATACATACAACATAATTAAATTTATATGAAGTTTAAACATAAAACGATATTGTTTAAGATACATAAGAAAACTATCAAAAAATCATCACAAAAATTAGTGATTAGAAGTATTTTTTTTTTGGCAAGTCAGTATATAATTTTTGGCATATGGTGTGAAGGAATTAAAATAATTTCATAATGTTACTATAGCAAACTTATTCCCATTTGCTTTTAAATATAAACCTGATTTCCAACATATTTATAAAAAATAAAAATAGAGTCAATCTGAATCTCGGTTTCATTCAGTAATAGCTAACATTTATCCACGGATTATGTGCTAACTGGGAAAAAGAAAATATCCACTATCTCATCAAGAGATATACATCCGGGAAACCTTTACTTTTTATGTTTAATATTTACTTATCAAAACTTATAATATATATTGCCTTCTTCAATTGTGTACTGAAATAATTTTAAGATTAACTCAATCTAAAGCAAAAATTTTAATACTTAGCGATAAGGGCATTAAACTTTTTTCAATTTAAATTTTCAGACATGTTTTTGGAACAAATACGAAAAGAGAGCAAAAGTTTTTCAAGTATGTTACATTAAAATAATAATTGTGAGGAGAGTAGAAATATGATTTCAAAGAGAAATATGAGTTCAAAGAGAAATAGGATTACCATTTTTATTACAGAAAATTTTGTTCATATTTTTAATGGATGACACTGGCGATTAAATCTCTATGGTATGTAGATCCCATTGGATATATTTTAAATAATGATGGATATATTTTTAAAAGTGCTGTAAAAGTTTTATTTTATGAATCGTATACTGGAAAGGGCAACATTTGCAGCTGTTTAAACTCGCGGTGAAAAGTTTTAAATACCAACTTAAAACATGTAAAAGCAAAATATACGTATAGTTCATCCACTGTGACAGCAAGGAAGGCAGACAAAAATACAGATTGGTTCAAAGATTTGGTGGATAAAGGAGATTTTTGTCTCCTGGAAGTTTCTATTTTCTCAGTGATACAAGAGGTAAGGTTAACAGCTGAGAGTAGGAAGGAAAAGATTTTGGAGGTTTGAAATGAGAGTGAAATCTTAGAGTCTATTTAAAAACTGTGCTTATAAATTTGAGCTTATGTGTATTTTTCTCTGGCAAGGTTCAGCTGCAAGTACTGCTAGCACAGAATAAATGGAAAATTGAGTTTAATTAGACCTAGGACTTTTGCCAACTGAGTTTTTTAGAGGAATGAGAGACTAGAGAAGGTGGAGCTATGTATGATAATGATTTGAGTCATGAACTGTGAAATCTAATCTGGGAAAGGAAGAGATGAGGGTATGGAGGGGGTTGATGAAAAGGAAAAAATTGGTAGAGACGATTTTTGAGAGATTCCAGTGGCACCTTAAGGGATTCTATGAGCATCCTGGAGTAGGTAAACCAAAAAAAAAAAAAAAAAAAAAAGGTCATCTAAGAGTCCATATATCCCAAGGATTAACCACCCTTTCAGTGGATTCCTCTTAAGTTTAGATAGTGCCTTTTCTTCTCTTTCTCTTTCCCTTATGGAATGGAGGAGAGGTTGTTATCACCAAAATTGCTCTCAAATCTGCTTTATAGCCCCAAGATTGCTTTGTTAAACCTCAGCTCTACAAATTGCCTTAATGATCTACCAGCATTTTCTACTATTACATGTAATTTTTTTCAGCAATTCCTCCTTAAAATTCAATTCTTCTGGACTGCCTTTTTCTTTTTCCAGACTCCACTGACTCCTCCTTCTCCTTGACTCCAATTTTGATCATTATTTTCTGTTAGCTTATAAAATACTTACTGGATCCTCTTTGCATTCCCACTGCCAAGACTTTAGTTTAAGTCTTGTTAATAGTAACCAAAGTGGTATCCTCTTTGTAATCATTTTTTCCCAATGTCAGGTTAGTTTTCAAACACTATATTCTTAATACCCCAGCTCTTCTCAAAAACTTTAGGAGTTTTCCATTTCTCTTAGAATAATTCCGAACTAGCATAGGCTCTAGACTTTTTTCCCATTCCCATTTCCATCATGACCTCTTCTTGGAGTCTTTCCAGGGCCCACTGAACTTGTTGGCTCATACGGTGCTCTTTCAAAGCCATATCTTACGTCCGCGTCTGCCTCTTCTTGGAATATCTTCCCCTGAATGTTAAAATCTTGTGGACATGAAGTTAAATACCACCTGTTCTATTAACATTTTGCTTGATCCCTGCTGTTGAAGGTAATCTTTTCTTCCTCCAAATTTGCAACATAGCGCTCTCTATAAACCTATTAGTCATAAAGATACCATTCATTTTTACATATGTACAGTTTTCAAATTGCTTTTTACATATATTTTACTTTATTCCTTACCACAAGTTAATGTTTTCTTTAGCACTTTTTAAAAGATGTGGAAACTGGGAATGAGAGAATTATTTAAAGTTCATATACTTGGCACTATCACCCTTGCCTTTGAATAATTAGTATGCTTATTTTTCTTGTTTGTTTCCAGATTTTGTCCTTCAAAGCGTGAGTCAAAACTTTGCACTAGACAGTCTTATTTGCTGAATGAACGCATAAAAGACTGGTTTCATAAAAACAAAAATGTTTTTCATAATTACTATTTGAGGGGATTTGTTTTTTAGTAACTTGGGTACTTGTTAATAGCCTTTTTTTGTTGTGGCCTTTGTTAAGTCTGGCAATAAGAAAAAGAAAATCACCAAAGCTGAACGACTGAAGCAGCTACAAGAGGAGGAGGAGAGGCGACTGAAAGAGGAAGGTACAGAATAAATAGTGATACTGTTTTCTTAACAATAGATTTTTCTTCTATAATACAGTCAATAATTATTCAAAATTCTTCAGTGTTTTCAACTTAATCTGTTTTATATTAATTAGATACCTACCATTTAGAGAGTACCTGGAAAGATCTGTTAGTACACCAATCACTTTCAGATATATCTTGAAGTAGGGTTGCCAGGTGAAATACAGGAACCTAGTTAAACTCGAATTTCAAATCATCAGTGGCTAATTTAGGATAATTTGCTCCATGCTATACTATACTAAAAATACGCTCATTGTTTATCTGAAATTCAAATTCCTGAATTTTTATTTGCTAATTATGTCAACTTTATCTTGAAGTATTTATATTTGGTGATGAAATTAGGGGCATTGGTACTGATTGTGCAGTAAGAATTATAAAATTCAAATTCATTAAGTATAGGAAATATACACTAGCAGGAAATACACACAACAGCCTAAGGTTTTATAGTTTAATAATTTTTATTTGCCAAATTTAAAATGCCAATTTCATTTTTTAAAAAATCAATTAAACTTTGATAAAATTGTTTACTAGTTAAAATATCAAAAAGTGTTTTTAAATAAGAGAATATTCCAAGTGTTTATAGCTTTTAGCATTAAAAACATCTGTAGATTCAGATTCAGGTCCTCAGGCTTCATGTTGATTTTTTTAGGTATAATGTTATAAATCCTTTTTTTGGCGACTCATGATAAGAATACAATATTAGAATCTTTATCTTAGGGCATGTTTTATTTTATTGGGTTAAGGTCCTATTCTTCAATGTATATTTCATATTTTGATTTTAATAGAACAAGAGAATACTAAGGTAATTACTTCTGATGATGTAAATGTAACAAAGTTGTGGAAGTCTTCTAAAGACTTTATTTCCCCTTTATTGCCCAAGATAGATGTCATATTTTATTGGTTAACATTATTATTGAATTTTGAATTGCTATCAACTTTTTTTGAGAAGAGAAATATCATTGTGGGCCTATTTTTTTGGCCAGAAAGTTTGAGTCATCTTACTTTTTTTTGAAATAAGGAAAGCTAACACTTTTCTCATTTTTACCACATAATAAATGTTGTGACTTAAATAAAATATTCCATCACCACTGCATCGTGAATATATTGGAATAATATTAAGGACTTAAAAATATAGTGATCTAATCACTGAGTTTTTTTTTTTTCTTTAGAGGAAGCCCGTTTGAAATATGAAAAAGAAGAAATGGAAAGGCTTGAAATACAGCGAATTGAGAAAGAAAAATTGCATCAGCTTGAAGAACAAGTAAGTTAACATTAATAATATTCTTCTTTTGTTTGTTTTAATTTTTTAAACTTATTTATTATAGAGTTGTGGGGTACAAGTGAGGATTAAGTACATGAGTAGGTTGCATGCAGGTGAAGTTTGGGCTTCTAACTGGCCCTCACTCTCCCTGGTAGTGGACCAGGTATACGCTCTGTTGTATTGTGTACCCCTCACCCTCCTGCCTCCCTCAATAATGTTCTTAATGAATTACTTAATGGGCACAATTTATGCTATTCAGGTGATGGTTACACTGAAAACTCAGACTTCACCATGTGCGATATAGTCATGTAACAAAACTGCACTTGTACCCCTTAAATTTATACAAATTAAATAATAATAATAATGGCCTTAATGAAGACTCAAACTATGGTTATCAGATCTGTTGTCATTTATGTACTTCTCAGCCCATAGCGACCAGTAGTATTTAGGCCCACATGAGCTTAACGCTACTAGAAAGTAAGTGACATTATTACCCACATTCCATGGGTAAGGAAACAGAGGCATAGAGAAATTCAGCAACTATTAAGTGGCAGGGCCAGGACATAAACCTCAGCAGTCTTGCTTCAGAGCCCACACTTGTAACTTAATCATGCATGAATCTGTTTTATAGACAAATTAGTTGGGACCAAAAAAAAATTTAGAATATTCAAATTGTAACTCATTTTTTATAGTTTCACTTCTCTTTTTCACCAGAATCTTTTAGATCAGTAATTCTGAAATGTTTTGATCTAAGAACAAAACTCCATTAAACTATTAAAAATTGAAGACCCCCAAGGAGCTTTTGTTTACATAGATTACATCGATCAATATTTACCATATGAGAAATTAAAACTGATAATTTAAAAATGCTTATTGTAGTAATTAACATTAAACATTGATAAAAATAAACTTTAATACACATAAGTAAGTACATTATTATTTTTTAAAGAAAATGACTATAGGTTTTTAATTAGGGAAATGAATTACATTCTTTATACTTTTAAAATCTCTTTAATATCTGACTTACAGAAGACAGCTGAATTCTCATATCTACTTCAGTATTTCATCTGTTGCAATGTATTGTTTTGAATGAAGTACATGAAGAAAATCTGGCCTCACACAGACATGCAGTTGAAAAAGGGAATCTTGCCGGGCTTGGTGGCTCAGCCTGTAATCCCGCGCCTTGGGAGGCTGAGGTGAGTGGATTGCCTGAGCCCGCGGGTTCGAGACCCGCCTGGGCAGCTTGGTGAGACCTCATCTCTACAATAAATCAAAAAATTTACTGGGTGTGGTAGCGCGTGCCTGTAGTTCCAGCTACTTGGAAGGCTGAGGTGGATGGATTGCCGGAGCCCAGCAGGTCGAGCCTGTGGTGGCTGGGAGTGGCCACTGCACTCCAGTCTGGGTGTCAGAGTGAGACTCCAACTCAAAAAAAAAAAGGAAAAGAAAAAAGGAATCTTTTAATAGCCTGTCAGATAATTGTGGATATTCTTTGATACTATACCAAAACTCAACAAGTGGTAGTTTCTTAATGTGGAATATGAAACCATACGAATGAACTTTTTATACTCTGTTATTTTAAAACATTGATCTATTTTACACTCATAATAGTTCTTTTTTACGCAATATTTTGCCCAGTTGGAAAATTTTGATTCACCAAATTATTTGCTTCCAAATATTGATGTATCTTATTATTCATTATAAAAAAATCATATACACTAGTATCACCTACTGTCAAATAAGAAGTTTTTTAAGGATTGGGAAACTATCAAGCTTACAGTGATTGATATAAGTTTTCTAAAATTCAAATTTTTGCTTGAAAGCATGAATTTTATCATTGACAACAAATATTTTAAGTTGTTTTCTTAAAGTGATTGCTTAATTCATTTATTTTTGAAAGAATGTCTGCCAAAATATTCAAACAATTGCACAAGTCTCAAGCCAGTATTGTCTTTTGATATACAGTTGAAGCCCTTTTTGGGAATCTCCCATTTTATTACGTGGTATATTAAAACTGCATGTAGTTAGGGTTGAGATTTAATAAAATTAATAATTTTTGCCTCTTTATCAGGTCATTTTTATGTGAAGCTGGCTCTTTCTCACCTCTCCTTTGGAACTAGTAAAACCAGTGATGTAAAGCTATCTGGTGCCTTCATTTGTGCTAAGGCAGCAGCAGTTTTACTCCATCTTGCACCATCAATGCAAATATAAACACTGAAAAAGGCAAATGATACCAAGTGTTATAAAAATGGAATGGATTCACAGATCCCAAAAGAGTTTTGGGAACTCACCAAGAGTCTGCAGATCACACTATGCAATCCACTGTTTCAGATGAAACCTTTTGGAAATATCTGTTATAATCAAACTAATTTTAGTTCATTTTGAGACTACAGTGATATGCTGAGCCAAGTAAATTTTAGATGCTACTTATGAAATATACAGTAACATTAGAGATCAGATCAATGTATCTATCCCTATACGACAGGATCTGGAAAGGAGAAATGAAGAACTTGAAGAACTTTATTTATTAGAGGAATGTTTTCCTGAAGCAGAGAAATTGAAACGAGATACTAGATTGCTTTCTCAAGTAAGACTAATTTCTTTTTTTTAAGCTAATGCTTTTATCACCACAAGAGGGAGTTGTCATCCAATGTCCATTTTAATCCCAAGAAACTTTAAATTTATCTATAAAACAAAACTCTCATCTGACAAATTGGTTGCTTATGACAAAGTAAATTTATATAATTTTGTAGAAAGCTATTTGTCATTAATAATATTTTTGAAATGTTTATAATCCCTTGACTCTGATTCAATTGTTGAGAATTTATACTGAGAAAATTATTCTAATTTAAAATGTAAAAGCTTTGTGCTTAAGGCAATTTTGTCTTACTAAAAACAGCCTACCTTTGGAAACAATATAGGAGAAAAAAATTTTAAAACTTATAACATAGCAAAAGATGATTGTATAACTGTAAATGAAAAAATTTACATATATAGTACAATATGGTTAGAAATGTAACATTTGCATACACTCAAAACTGAACGGAAGGACTCATACTAAAATACCAGTAGCAATTAGCAATTAGTAATAACTTGGGAAGTAGAAATTAGTCCAAGTGTTGGTTTTTGCAAACAAGAAGTTCTTTGATTAGAGAGAAAAACAAAGCAAAACAAAACCACTCATAAATAAATAATGTTTTAAATATAAAAATATGAAAGTTAAGTGTCAGGGTACGGACGGACCGGGTGAGGGTGGAGAGGCGAGGCGAAGCGTGCAGCACTGCCGGGGCTGGCACCCGGAGGTGCGCGCTGGGAACCCAGAGAGCCGAGTAAATTGCAAAGAATTGCGACACACAGAGATGAGAGAAGAAAAGATTTATTTAAGAAAAGTTCACCCCCCACAGACAGGGAGTGAGCCTACAGTCTAGGTGAGTGTGGCCTCGTAGCCCCCCAGAGTCCTGGCTTAAATCCTTTTCTTAGAGATGTTGCACATGACTGCTGTGACTTCCTTGTCGACCACCTGTGAAATATCTTTGAGATCCTGAGAGCCATTAATGTCCGCCCACATTATCATAGCCCCTAGAGAAGTGTGTGACAAGGATTCTAATTCTCCTGCACCTTCCCAAACAACATTCCTTAGAGCTAATGGAGGGTGTACCTCCCCTTATCTCCTAGGTATTCCCAGTGGGTAGCTTTGGGGGATCCTTGGCTTCCCTGTAGAAAGTGCCCAATTTACTGGAAGATTGAATCCCCACCTGCTCTCCCTCTGAGCGGTTATAACTTCTGTAATTACAAGTTTCATGACTTTTACAGTCCTTGCCCAATGCATGATGTCTCAGGCCTTGTAAATTTCCCTTTACTCTAGGCACGCTTGATTGCCACTATGAGATACCTCAGACACCTGGAAGTCTGTTTCTGAAAAGACAAAGTCAATAAAGTTAGTTATACCTAAAGTGTGCATTTCTCCAAAATCACAGCTTCTATTTTCTCATCATTGTGTCAGAGTTTAAGAACAAGATGAAAAATGACTTCCCACTCTCGGTCTGTCCTTTTAGTAAGTAGTATTTCTGTTTATCTGAATATTGAGTATTAGAAATTATTTGGATGAAGAATTTGGTTATGTTAGTGCTATCTCAAGTTACTGGTTAAAACTATCATATGTTTTTGTCTAAATTGGTAAAACTGAGTTATGAGAATGTATAAATCACAAAAAATGTAATTTAATCTTTGGTTGAATCTTCATCCTTGTGAACTTTCAAACATTTTCATTCCACAGTGGAAACACTACATTCAATGTGATGGGAGCCCAGATCCTTCAATAGCCCAAGAAATGAATACTTTCATTAGTTTGTGGAAAGAGGAAACAAGTGAGACTTTTGAGGAAGTGATCGAGAAGAGTAAACTAGTGCTAAGTGTAAGTGTTTAAGTACTAGCGTCATGGTTTTGGTTTATCACAAATACTCTGGTATTTAGTCCAAAAATAAAAATAAATTATATATTATATTGCCAATTAATAATACTACTACTGCTTCTGAACCCTTGGCTATATAGAGAGAGTTACTTGGTAATCTTTTCATTTTCTTTTTTCTCTTAACAACTGCAATGTCCCTTGCCACCTTAGATTAGGTAAATATAACCTAAATGTGAAACATTGATTATTTTTCTCCTAGATCAAGCACAAAAAAAAAAAAATCGAATTGCATGCATTTATGTAGATAACTGGTGGAGGAGAATTGGGTTTTACCCTCAACTGGGATTACCCACTATTCAGTAATTTAATACCCAAGATTTGTAACATTTACTGAGTGCCAGGTATACATTCCTTTAGGCACTGGGGGTGCAAAAATAAATAAGAATATCCTGATTTCTATTTCTACAGATAGTATGCTAGGTTGGCCTGAGGAACTTTCACTTTATAATGCCCTTAAAAATACTGGGAAAAAAATTAATGACTTTTAAATCCATTGTCCAGCCCACAGAAAAGTAAGGGAAAACCTTAGAGGCCATGAAACAATCCAGAAAGTAATAAAATGTGAAACTGGTGGCTTCCCAGAAATTATCTGCTAACCTCTAGTGGTGTGGCATTGGTTTAAGGCTCATCAGGAGGCCAAACCTAGGGAACATGCAACTTGGCAAATTGAATCAGAGTATGGTCAGGAGCCTCAAATGGTGCTATAGATAATAGGAGAAAAAAATCCACTTTGCAAGGGAGATGATAAAAAGGTATGTTTTACTCATCTTTCACGAAGTGAAGGGAAAACAAAAATGTCTCTATTCTTAATGACAAGTGAATCTGAAGTTGGATTGCAAAAATTTACCAGAATACAGGACAAAGAGGTGGAGAATTTGAAAGAGCGGTTGACAGACATTAATGATAGAGATAGAAGGACTAAAAATATATGGAGCAGGAGTACCAGAAGGAAACATAGAGTTAGTACAGAGCCCATAAGGAAACATCCAGAGTTAGTACAGACCCCACAGGCTAAGGAATGAGTCCCACAAAATTTCCCTTTCCCCTATTTTTCAGTCACAAGCCCCAGGTTGTTACCTGTCCTTCTGACCAACCAGGTATAAATTAGAAGTTTCTCCAACCCCCTCATCAGGTTAGTAATTTGCTCTGATAGCTCACAAAACTCAGGGAAACTCAGACTCTGTTAAGCTTATATTATGTATTGCCTGATTTAATCTGGACAAGGTTATGAGATTCATTTTATGTCTATTGATTTTTATAAAGGATGTTACAGAGGATTCAAATGAAAAGCTAGATGAAGAAATACATAGGACATGATATGTAGGAAGGAACGTGGAGCTTTCATGCCTTCTCTGGGTGGACTACCCTCCCAGCACCTTGATATGTTCACTGTCTAGGAAGGAAGCTCTCTGAACCCCATGGCTTAGGGTTTTTATGAAAACATCACTATGGGGGCATGATTAATTAAATCATTGGCCCCAAATATGTGAGTAAGTCAATCTCTCCACCCTCTCTGCTCTGGATCCTGGGGCGTGGGGCTGAAAGTTCCAGCCCTCTAATCACGTGGTTGGTCCCTTTGGTGATTAGCACTCATCCTCCAAGACTCACCACATTAGTAAAAACTCTGGTGTGGCTAAAAAGGACTTACTATGAATAAGAAAAGCTGTTTCTCCCACCTCTATTACTCAGGAAATTCCAAGAGTTTAGAAGCTCTGTGCCAGGAACAGAGGGCAGAGATCGAATATTTATTTCTTGATGTCACAACACATTAGGATAAATAAAGATATGCACATTTAAACATACCTACAGTATTATAGAAACTAGAAGGAGTTTATTCTTCTTCCTTTTATTATTCTTAATGTTTTTGTTCCCCAGAAAAAAACAAGGTTTGTTCACCTGGCAAGTGAAAAATAACTCTCTATGAGAACACAGATTTTGATCAGTAGGGGTTTTATTATTTGGTGCAAGAAAGCCGAACACTGGGAGCATTCTCCAAAGCAATGTCTCCCCAAGGGAAAGTGATAGGAGGGTTTTAATGGAGAGGGGGAAAAGTGCATCACTGCGTGTAAAGGAAGGGTCCCAGTACTATAGATGCAGTGAGTCATTATGTCAGCATGTAGATCACATGTTATAGCAATAAAGTTATAGCTCTTCCCAGGGTAGGGACTGGTATAGCAAGGTAATGAGGAAGGTTCACTTGGCTTAATCTATAAATTGCTGGAAGGTCTATTAGGAGCTAATTCCAACCAACAAGGTGACCACATTCAACATATGGTTTAGGGAAAAAGGCTGCAATGCAGCATGCTGTAAAACAGGCTGATTGCTCAAGTTGATTAGATTCTTATAATCCCTGGAGATCCTTTCTGTCTGCGTTTACTTTTTGTTCTAGTTCCTCACAGCATTTTCATGCTTCTTTTCACTGTTGCCATAGTTTACTTCTTCTTTGTGTTGCTGTAAAATGAAGTAACTCCAGACTCTGTTAAGCTTATATTATGCATTGCCTGATTTAATCTGGACAACAAGGTTATGAGATTCATTTTTATCTGAAGAAACGTAATGTTAATGGAAAAACCAAACTCTATAAACTATTTAAAGAGGTTTATTTTGAACCAATATCAGTGACCATGTCCCAGGGAACAGTGTCTAGAGGTCCTGAGAAAGTGTGCCTGAGACAATCAGATTATAGTTTGGTTTTATACATTTTAGGGAGACAGGAACTGCAAGGAAAGACATATATCAATGCATAGAAGGTGCACATTGGTTCAGCCTAAACAGGCAGGATATCTTGTAGTGGGAGCTTACAGGTCATAGGTAGATTCAAAGATTTTCTGGTTGGTAATTGAAAGAGTTAGGCTTTGTCTAAAGACCTGAAGTCAGTAGAAAGGAATGTTTGAATCAAGATAAGGGAGTTGTGGGAGCCAAGGTTCTTGTTACAAAAATGAAAGCTCATGGGTAAGTAGCCTTCAGAAAGAATAGATGGTAAATTGTTCTTTTCAGACTTTAAAAGATATCAGACTAACTTAAGTCCCCCTGTCCTAGATCCAGGAAAGGCCTTGAAAGAGAAGTCCTGACTGCATTAATGGAGATTCTCCACACATGCAAATTTCCTCCAAAAAGATCATTGCAATATCTTTTCAGTCTGCTGGCCCTGTGGCAGTTGTTTCAAAAGATGTCAAATAAATATATTTTGGGACAAAATATTTTGATTTCTGTTAGGATCTGCTGTCTGTCATGTGATACTATACCAGAGTCAGGTTAGAATTTGATATCTTATTGCCACAAAGACCATTTTGTCAGTCTTATGATCTCTATTTTAGTGTTAATGCTCATCAGTTGTGCCTAAATTCCAAAGGGGAGTGGATATGACAAGGCATGTCCAACCACCCTTCCCATCATGGCTGAGAATTCAGTTTTTTAGGTTCCTCTGCAATCCCCTAGGCCAAAAGGGGATCCATTTAGTCAGTTGGAAGTTTTGGGACTTTGCTTTTTTTTTAACATATATTTTTTATTTTAAAGGTGTGGGGTACAGTTAAGAGTTAGGTATACAAATCTTCATTGTGCAGGTACCCTTGTTGATTAGGTGTGCCCCCCTCTCCCCAGACAGATATTGACTACCGTTAATCCTACCTCCCTTCCCCTCCCTGTCCTCCCCACCATAGTTTCCTGCCACTGTCAATCCTTTTCTTATAGTATTATGGTAGTTGTTCAAGGTTTTTTATGAGTAAGAACATGTGATGCTCAGATCTTTTTTTCTCTGAGAGATCACTCATTATTATAAACTCTAATTCCATCCAGGTTGCTGCAAAATTCATGATTTTGTTCTTTTTTGTGGCTGCATAATATTCCATTGTATATATGTACCACATTTTTTTAATCCAGTCTTCTTTTGATGGACAGCATGGTTGGTTCCATGATCTTGCTATTGTGAACAATGCTGCAATAAACATACGTGTGCAGGTATCTTTTTTATAGAGTGATTTGAGTTTTTTCAGGGTATATTCCTAGTAGGGGGATTGCGGGGTCATGTGGAAGGTTGATTTTTAGAGCTTTTAGGAATCGCCACACTGATTTCCACAGAGGCTGTACCAGTTTACACTCCTACCAACAGTGTAGAAGTGTTCCCTGAGCAAAACCCAAAGTGCCCAGGCCATAAGAGATAAGATAGACAAGTGGGACCTCATTAAACTGACAAGCTTCTGCAAAGCCAAAGAAACCATCAAGAGAGCAGGGAGATAGCCCACAGATTGGGAAAACGTATTTGCCAACTCCATGTCTGACAAAGGCCTAACATCAAGGATCTACAAAGAAAAGAAACAAACAAACAACCCCATTACAAAGTGGGCAAAAAATATGAACAGCACAGACACTTCTCAAAAGAAGATATATGAGCGGCTAACAGATACATGAAGAAATGTTCAACCTCACTAGTCATCAAGGAGATGCAAATTAAAACTACACCAAGATACCAGAATGGCCATTATCAATAACTCAAAAAATAACAGATGCTGGAGAGAATGTGAGGACTTTGTTTTTTATTTGGATCCTATGAGATGGATCTTATTCTGACTTTCCAAAGACCCCAAGTAGTTTCCTATACACTCTGAGCTATTTGAATGACAGTAGATTCACCATACAGTGTGCTTGCCACTGTACATCCTCTCCACCAGGGAGGCTGCCATGACATGATGCCAGTTTAGGAATCTGATACTCTGCAGTTAGTAGAAAGGCAGTGGGAAGTAGCCTGAGAATTCACCCATCATGAGCTGGAAGGGGCAGCTTCCTGTTACAAGAATGTGGAGTACAGATGTAGAAGTGATAACTAACAGGGAAGACTGTAACGGATAAATAGAACAAAACAGGAGACAGAAGAGGAGAGGTTTAGAAAAGTAAAGCCGAAAACCCAGAAACAGAAAACTAAAGCAAGAAACTACAAAAGGAATAGAAAGAATCGGACAGCAGTAATAGAAGGAAATGACCCCATAGTAAACACCAGTTTCCAGATGTTCAGACTTATTTATTTAAAACTCTTGTCTAGCTGGGCTCGGTGTCTCAGCCTGTAATCCCGCGCCTTTGGGAGGCTGAGGTGAGTGGATTGCCTGAGCCCGCGGGTTCGAGACCCACCTGGGCAACGAGACCTCATCTCTACAATAAATCAAAAAATCAGCCGGGCCTGGTAGCGCATGCCTGTAATTCCGGCTACTTGGAAGGCTGAGGCGGAAGGATCGCCGGAGCCCAGCAGGTTGAGGCTGCGGTGGCCGGGAGTGGCCACTGCACTCCAGTCTGGGCGACGGAGTGAGACTCCAACTCAAAACAACAACAACAACAACAACAAAAACAACTCTTGTCTAATGCAAACTTTGGAAATATCAACTTTCTGTGTTCTCATAATAACACTCAATGAGGTAGGCACCATTAACCCCATTTTTCACATGAGGAAGTTGAGGTGTAGAGATGTTAACTACTTGCCCAGATCCACATTGCTAGCAAGAGCTGGATAGGATTGAAGCCCAGCATTCCTCCCTGAGTCCCCATTCTGCCCTCTACTACTAAACTATCTCATTTAATTTAGAACTTTTCTATGTATTATCTGCGTTAGTGGTCAAAATTAAATTCCGCCACTTAATAGTTGTTCCTTGATCATGCTGTGCCTCAGTTTCCTCAACTATACAACAGGTATAAGACCAGCGTCTGCCTCATAGATTTATGATGAGAATTAAATGAATTAAAATGTATAATGCATTTAGAATACTTCTTGGTACATAGTTAAGCATTCAGTAAACATTAGTAGTTCTCCTCCTCCTTCCACCCTTCTCATTCTCTTCCTCCTCATTGCTGTTGTCATACTGTTGCTTTATTCTTATTGTTCTACGGTCTTAGGTAATGACAAATCACCACTCATTCATCAACTCTTTCAATGAGAATTCTGTTACACACAGATAAGAACTTATAAGGGTATTTTGGGAGAAAGTATCTATTTCTCCATGATCTTAAATTACAGAATAAATACAGGAAAGGATTTCCATGTTTTACTGAGGATAATGTGTTCCTCAATTCTAAATTGATAGAACATACCCTCTTTCACTTTTCCTTTGACTACTTGACAGATGATTAATGTAAACATTCTTTTACTTTATAGTTAATTGAGAAATTGAAATTAATTTTATTAGAGACCCCACAGAGTGATTTTCAAGATAAAAATATAATACAGCATCAAGCATCAATTCTACAACTACAGGAGCTCCTTCAGCTTAAGTTTAATGTAGTCACAGAAATACTTCTCAGAGTAAGTGTGATACTTTGCTTTCATGTTATTATCAATTTTTATAAGAGTTAACATTTTATGCTATATAATAAAATCATACAGTATTGTTTTTATTTCTTTTTGAAAAATAAATAGATTCTGGAAAAGTCAATAGAATAACTTAAAGAACAAATATTTTCCCATATTTAACAACTGTTAATATTTTATTTTTAGATAAAATATTGCCAATATAGTTAAAGTCTAGTTTTTTGTATTTTTCACAAAGTTTACTAAGTTCGCATTGATGATAAATTTATGAAACTACATATTATATATTCACGCTAGATAAATTAATAGATGCAAGATTATAATTATTGGTAGTAACTCCATTTTTCTTCAACTTTTCATTTTGAAAATGCTATATTTGTACATGAGGTTGGAAGAATAGTATCATGAATCCCCATATACCTGCCACCTATAGTCAACAATTGTTTAAGCTTATTGAAGTATAATTGATAGACAAAAATCAATAATATTACAATATTCTATAATGTTTGCTTTATCTCTAGCAAATATTATAAAATAAATCTCTACTTTAGCTTTGTAGCATTTGAAAGATGTAGATATTATGCTACTTTTTCATCCCCAGGTATCTCAGCATTAGTGACAAGAGTCAAATAACCGTAAAATCATTATTATACCTAAGAAAATTAATAATAATTTCGTAGTATTTCTAATAGTTCATCTTCAAATTTTCCTTTATTTCCCATGAATGTCTTCTATTGCTGTTTTTATTTTGTTTTGTTTTAATCAAAAAACAGTCTACAGTCACACATTACTTTTGGTTGTTTTGTCTTTTGCTTTCTTTCCGTCTAAAATATAGTCCTTTGTATATCCTTTGTGAAATATGCCCTAATTACAAAAAAGGATTGCAAATAAAGCTTATGTTGTTGCTTATTGTTAGCTTATTCATATCATAACTTTGCAACTATTTATGTATTTATATGTATTATAGGGCAAAGGAAGTAAGAAAACATTATTATTACTAATCAAGATTTTTAAGGGAACCAATATGCAAGTGAAAATTTGAAAAATACTGTAATATTTAATTTGAAATGGAAATATCAGAATGAACCCTATTTTTTTTATTCCATAGATAGGAACCAGAACTAATTGGGGTAAATGGTTGATTTTGTGACTGGGGTAGGAAAAGTGAAAGAGGAGGCTGGTTTATCTTATTGTGCTAGAAAGCAAGTAAACATTCAGAGACTAATGGGGTCAAATCCAAGGACAGGGACTAGGCCAAATTCAGAATACTTTGAATATCAGAAATAATAATGACTATAATTAATTATATCACATTAAGTAAGTAAAAATCCACGAGTCATAGTGATACTCCAAAAAGAAATAGGGACTGTGAAGTGTGAGAACATTTCTTTACAGAAGAATGCCATCTAACTAACGTGGAAGGAATGACCAGTAAGAAAATCGCCATTTTTCTGTCCCCAATGTAATAATTGATCCAGGTAAGAATCCTCAATGGCCACCTAAGAGATTAGATGAAAAGTTGTTGAGGAACACATTGTCCTCATAATGCCAAAGTGTTAGACCTCAGATTACTAACTGATTGTGGGAAACGTACTTGGCAATGAGGAAATATGTTGCCAACACCTTAACCAAGTGATCAAGTCTGTGTCATTAATAGCGGAACATTGTATACTCCTCATAGGATATAAAATGAAGAACACAACATAACCTATGATGTCCTCTTGCTGAAAATGGTTGCTCCAAATCTAATTAATCCCTTAAAAATAAAGGGAATTAGAGAAGCAAGTTAAGCAATGCCATGAGGAAACAATCACGTACATTCACAGTGGAACCGTTCTTCAAGGCAACTGTCCTAAACACTTCAAAAAGTAAAAGTCATAAAAAACAAAAAAGTATGAAGGGATCAGCACTTAAAAAAATTCGCAATAAATATAATGCACAACATTTTTAAGTTTTTACATTATAGCAACTAAACATATATTGACCCTTGATGAGAGCTGATTTCTTGAGCAATAGGCATCAAATTATGTTAGTTTTTAATGAAAGATTCTTTTTTTTTTTTTTTTTTTGAGTTGGAGTCTCACTCCGTTGCCCAGGCTAGAGTGCAGTAGCACACCCATGGCACCTCAGCATCGACCCACTGGGCTTCGGTGATCCTTCTGCCTCAGCCTTCTAAGTAGCCGGAACTACAGGTGTGCGCTACTATGCCTGGCTAATTTTTTGATTTATTGTAAAGACAAGGTCTTGCCAAGTTGCCCAGGCTGAGGCAACCCACTCTCCTCGACCTCCCAAAGTGCTGGGATTATAGGCTGAGCCACTGAGCCCAGCCAGTGAAAAATTCTCAAGAGCAGCCTTAAATTCTGTTGTTAACACTGGATATAAACTATAGGACTAGCAAAACATGTAACTCATCTGTATTCCATAGACTGGATATGTTTGCTTTCTAAACGCAGAAAGGCTAACTTTTGCAGTAGAACAGACTATACTTTGATAAGATACAGGTAAAGAAGCATGCATAGAGTTAAATGAAAAGTGATGATTCTCTTGTTAAGATTGAAAAAGGTAACATAATAGTAATCCACAAGTGCTACCTGGGAATGTAGGGGCAACTTTATTCCTTAGACGTTGTCAGAGAAACTGAGTAGAAAAAGTAGAGGCATATTTAATTAAGTAAATACATTTGGATCCTTTATAGAATTAAAAAAAAATGATTCTTTGTCTTTTTGAACCCTATTTTTAACCAAGTTTCTCTTTTAGTAAATTAATAAAGGGAATCTAACACATAAATTATTAAATAACTTATGTAAATTGTATAATTTATGAGACCTCTGGCCCTTTACAATTTTTTTTGTCTTGCAGCAAGCTAGTACTTTAGCAGATCTGGACAGTGGAAATATGGAAAAAATCATTCAAAGTGAAAATGTTACTGTATATGTATGGGCAAACCTCAAGAAGAATCCAAGGTACCCCCATGGCTAATACATTCCCTGTAGGTGGAAAGACATTAGAGTCACATCATGACTTCTAGGCATGTGCCTGTCCATAGCAGCATGTTGCACTTGGAAAGACCTATGTTAGGAAGTTAACCCACCAGGGGTTGAATCACAGAGCTGCCATTTACTTAGGCAAGTTACTTGGCCTTCAGTATATCATCAGTAAAATGAGGATTATACTTTACTTAATAGGATTGGATTGAGGATTAAACATTAGTGCATCTAAAAGTTATAGCACAATGTCTACTACAAATATATAATCCATTAATATCAGGTCTTCCCCTTCTCTTCACCCACTTAGCCCCCTTTCCCCCTAAAAAAGTGGAAATGGTAGGTGGTTTCTATATGGCAATCTAGAACTTTAAAAAATATACTCATTTTTGTGAACTGTTACAAATAAAATATTTTCATATTTGGTTTTTTTTTGGCATTTAAGTGATGTTTCACCAGTAATTTTTGACATGGAAACATCTTCATGAGGATTGATGGTGATAATGACAAATTCAAGGTCACTTGGTTACTGTTTGATTGTAAACATTTTAAATTAATTACATTGGTATGGCAGTGAGTTTCAGGGAAAAATTACCAGAAGAAAAATTAGAAGGCCTAGTTTCTGGTCCCAGCTCTAAAAAAACTAGTTATATGCCATTGGAAAAGTTTGGACTTTACTTTTCCTATTTAGTAATTACTTTTCATATTTAGTAAAAGGAAGGACAAAATATTTCTCCAGTTCCTTCCATTTGCTACACAATACTCTTTGACTTACATCTAATCAGAGACAATATATTAACTTTTTCACTGTAAAATATGTCATCTATAGAAAAGTGAAGGAAATTAATTTGTATAGATTTAAAATAATAAAAATAGTCTGGGTGTAGTGGCTCATCCCTATAATCCCAGCACTTTGACAGGCCAAGTGCAAACGGGTGAAGGCATTGAGAAAAATACAAAGTTGAGTATATCTTGTGGAGTTATCAGCATATAGACCAATGGTACTTAATTTTTGGGGAGTCATAGATTCTTCTGAGCATCAAATAATTTTATATGCTCACACTTACGGAAGAACATTTTTGAACCTCTTAAAATTCATTCAGGGATGCCTCTTCCCTCTTTTCCACTCTAGGAAAAAGTAAAACTCATGTTAAAACCCCTAATTTTATATATATATTTTTAATTTGAAGTCACAGAAATAATAATTTCCAGAGAGTGTGTGTTAAGGGAGAAGAGGGATTAGGATGGAGGACTGAGTAATGTAGTAATATCAATATTCAAGGAATGGTTAGGAAAAGGGCCCTACTGAGGAGTCAGAAGGAGCTGCCAGAGATGGAGGAGAAGAAGGTATAAATTTGAAACAAGCCTAGAGTTTCCTAGGGCCTCATCTTCTTTGTTAAAATTGATTATTAACAGGTACAGAAGTATCAGATTCTCTGGAACACAAGTTGGATTTGAAATTCCAAGGATATTAGCCACAAGTAACATTGCTTTACGACTCCTACATACTCACTATGATCATGTTTCTCCACTTCACCCTATTCCAACACCATCAACTGAAGAACATATTTCTACAATAACTGAGCCTGTTGAAGATGAAGTTACAGATGTAGAAAAAGAAATCAGCAAAGAGGTCCAAGAAGAGTCTACACAACAAAAAAGAGGGTCTAACGTAATTCATGAGGAAGAAATAAAAGTTGAGGAACAAGATGATATTGAAGTAGAAATGGTAAGACACATTTAAATATATACATTTTTTCTTCATGTAACACGTTATTAGATTCTCTTGAAGTATTCCCAAGATTCTCCCTAAACAGCTAGAAACTGAGAGGCACTTTCTTGCCAGTTCCTCAATTTTTAACATGTATCTTTTTCTTGTCTTTTATTAATAGACTCTTTATATTGAGCCATTTGCTTTAACATCCCAAAGTTCAGCACAGAAATTGCCCATTTTTATATTAGGTGCAGTCCTGGGAAGCTTTAAGCTATTGAATCTTGTATGTTTATTACATATTTCAGCTTCACTCTAGGAAACTTGCCATTAAATGGAAACTTGCAGTTAATAGTTTCATAAATTGGAAGATTATCTTACATTACAGTTACTTGCTCAGCTTTTGGTTTTTTAAGAAAGAATTTTATAAAGTATAAATTGATTTTATTAAAATATTGTACTTTTGTCTGAAAACATCTTTAGATATATTATTTGAACAATTTAATAATCATATTTCTCTAGTTGGTTTCTGCTTCTTTTTCTGTTTCCAAGATTTCTAAGCTATGACTGTTCAAAAAATTTATGTTCAAAAAATTGTCTCTTAAGAATTTGATAACACTTTCAGAGAGCTAAGAAGCTTATTTGTATAGCCATTTCCTGTTTGTTAGGAAGGACCAGAAATATGGAGTTTTCCTACAAATACATAAGACATGAAATGCATTCACTTATTTATTTATTTTCCTTAAACACAGGAAAGGATTAAGAATTAAATGGAATAAATTTAAAATCGAAATAGGAATTATTAAATATTCTAACATCATATGGGATTTCAAAATGGATATGACATAATGCTAAGTACAAACAATAGTATTTAGAGTCGAATTACAACCATGTAAAAATTTCAAAGTCTAAGAAAAGGAAAACACTGAAACCTACATATAGCTGATATTTTAAATTGGTGGGAAATGAATGATTTATTCTTTTTAAAAAAATTGTCATTTTTGTTAAAATGTTCTTTGGTCAATAAGGTAGTCTTTAAATTAAAATTTTTATTTTAATCATCAAGTAACTTTATGAGAGTCCAATAATATTTTCAATTCTCTTTCTTTTCCTGGAATATGGAAGGACTATACTCCTCTCCCCCTTGAAACTCAACATGACCTTGTGACTTGCTTTAACCCAAGATGTGAGGCTATGACAAATTGATTTCTAAGGGATTAAAAAAAATGGGCAAATAGGCCCTAGCCTTAGCATTATTTCAATATGTAGTAAGAAACAAAATTAAACTCTAGTAACTTAAAGCAAAATTTGACAGGATTTGTGATCTGAAATTTATGAAACAAAGAACAAATAAAAAGTTATCAAAATTGTTGAGTATGAAAAAAATATCTACAAATATTGGGGTCTTGATCTGATCAAAATATTAGATAATTTCTTCCTCTTCCTGCCAAGTTATTTGATCATAATTAATAAATACAACTATCCAATAAACATATGAAAATACACACAACCAAGAGTACAAGGGTACCATCAAGTAAGAAAAAAATTAGTTAAATCACTATATTACTAGAAGAAGAACAATTCCATGATTTTTATAATAGATACAGTAAAAGCACTCAATGTAATTAGCCACTCATTTATCACAGGAAAAAAAATACCTGAGGAAACCAACTTTCAAAATGTATCTATCAAAACCATACAGCAAGGATATTGCGTTATAGTGAAATTTAAAAAGCATTTGCATTTAGGTTAAATGCAAGAGAAGGATGCTATTGCAACAACTTCTATTTAGTGTGGTAACTGTGGACAATGCAATAAGGTAAGAACAAAAAAAAACAGATCTAAGAGTTGGAAAGATAAAAATTATCTTCTATTTCACACAATATGATTGTCTACTCAAAAAACTCTAAAATTATTATGACAATCAAATTGGAAAAAACATATTTCATATTAGATCCATCAGGCAGCACTTTCACATACTGTTATTAGAAGTATAAATTTGTACAATTGCTGTTTGGCACTATGTAAATGTGTCTATGACTAGTGATTTTACCTTTATAATTTATTATTCGAGACTAATAGGACAAATAAATAAAAATGAAAGTACCAAAATGTTCATTGAATTATTATTATTTTTATTATTTTCTGAGACAAGGTCTCACTCTATCTGTCATTCAGACTGGAGAGCAGTAGTATGAACTCAGCTCACCGCAACCTCAACCTCCTGAACTCAAGTGATTCTCCCATCTCAGCCTCCAAAGTAGCTGGGACTACAGGCATGTACCACCGTACATGGCTTTTTTTTTTTTTTTTTTTTTTTAGTTTTTTTGTAGAGATAGGGTCTTACTATGTTGCCCAGGCTTTTTTCAAACTGCTGGTCTCAAGTGGTCCCCCTGCCTCAGCCTCCCAAATTGTTGGAATTACAGATGTGACCCACTGAGCCCAGCCAAGTTATTTTTTATGTTAGCAAAAAAAGTCCCCAGATAAAATTAATTACAAAATATCCAACAAATCTTAGTAGCCATTTAAAAGGATGATGTATACTTTATATAATTTTACATGAAAAGATACATAGGATGTATTGTTGCGTTTTTAAAGTTAAAAATGCTATTTGCAATATGATTCTGTTTTTGTGATTGAAAAGAAAAATATCTGGAAGCCTATTCACCAAACAGTGTCTATCTTTGGTGGTAGGAGAGGGGGCATGAGAAAGATGAGATAGTGGTATATTACCAGTGATTTTGGCTCTCTATACACTCCCAAATTATTTGCATTTTCAATAAATAAGTACTGAAAACATTACTTTCCTCATTTGGAATGAAGCGATATATTTCCTGTTGGGATTTTAAAGAAGAAAAGTTCATGATAAACCTGTATGCCATGGTACTTGCTCTTCTGCCGTGAAATTCTCATCCTCCCATAACCCTCATTCCTTTACCTAATTTCTACTTGTCTTTCAAGTCTTACCTCAAGTTTTACCTCCACAAAGTTCTCCCTGTTGCCTCAAATTATATACCCCTCCACCATGCTCTTATCATTCTGTTTGTTATAATTCTTACCTTAAGCACTAAATGATGATCTGGAGGACAAGAATTTGTTTTATTTTATTTTTTATTATAAAATTGAGGATTGGGTATACAAACGTTGATTATGCAGGTACCCTTGGTGATGAGGTGTGTGCTCCTCGCTCCCCTAGCAGTTTCCCTTAACTAGCAATC